TTCCTGTAGAACTGAAACAGGCAATTCTCCTTTCTGTATTTTAGAAATTCTAAGTTAATTGACTGTGATTTTAAAAGGATGTTTAGACAATCTTGATTTGCTATAGCATACCATGTATGTAACATGGCTTCAACTTGTGTTTAGGGAAAAGGTAGTATTTTAGGAAATTTTTTTTCTAAACTCTTGTTTAGAAAAAGAGCCCTAATGGACTCGACTTCGAATACCACATGGCTTGCAGCCATCCTGGTGACTTCCTCTGGATGGGAACATGCCATGTAACTTCACCACCATCTTGGTTAAGGTGATCATGTGATATCCCTCTACTTACTATTGTATCCCCTTTTTTTCTCTAAGGAGGCGACACCAGGCTTCTAAGATGGTTTGTTTTAAAACAGTGTCTTGAAAAATATATATAAAGGCAAACAACCATTAGCAGTTTGCCCTACATACTATCCTGCCCTGCTTTCTTCTACATATTTTATGTATAATATACAAAACAAATGGCACCAAGTAGAGAGTGTTCCATTTTACATTCTTTTTCCATTCACATGTATTTATTTTATGTGTGTAGGAGTGTTTTGCCAGCATGTATGTGTATGCCTGAATCAGGCATCAGCTCCTCAGGTGTTAGACAGCTGTGAGTCACCATGTATGTGTGTGCCAGGAACTATGCTAGGGGCCTCTGGAAGAGTAGCCAGTGTTCTCAGCCACTGGGCCATCCATCTCCCTAGATCCTTACATTCTTTGGCTAACTTGATATTTTATCACACATACTTACCCCCAAACACCAAAAGATCTAGCCAAAATCTCCTCAGCACTATCAGATTCCATCAGACAATACTAGGTAGGTAAGGAACTAGATGATATCACCAAGGAAAACTGCAGCCATGTTTGGAAGCTGTGTCTCCCGACAGTCAGAATGCCCCTTTGTGGTTAAACACTCTTGAAGCTGCAGTTAGATTGTTCCTGTTATAAGACAACCATGGAGGCCAGGACACTATCTCAGTTGTCACACACATACCATAGCAAAATGCTGTGTTCTCAGAAGAGCCATTATATTGCCTACATTGTAATTCTGATATTCCCCTCCACCATACATTTCCAGAGGATCATCATCAGAAATACCCTAAAATGACAGTCCAGTCAACCATGATTTTGGAGAGAAAGAAGGTCATGGATATGCCACTCATATCATCAATATCGATTAAAACTTGTTTAAAATATACAATGGGAGAACCCCAGGCTGAGCTCTCCAGCCCCTGCAGCCCACTCTAGTCTTTTGGGAGCTTTGTTTTGCTATATAAACCTCTGTTTAAGCTTTGTGTCCTGTCACAAAATCCTTTCCTCCAAAACAAGAACTGAGAAGCCCGGTATTACAATAATCCATCCATGGATTAGTTTATCCACCCCCTAATACTGATCATTATTCATATCCAGTTTTTCTATTATAAGCAAAAATGTGGTGAACATATTTATATATCCATCTCTGTCACAATTTCAAATTATTACAAATGTGAGATTGCTGAGAATGTAATCAACCAGCCTAGAAGGATCAATGATTGCTATATCTTGTCAAACTGCTGTTCAGAAATGTAGGTTATACACCAGGGCATCACCTATTTCATCGAGTCTTCCCCAGCACTGAGTATTATGACTTAAAATCTCTACGATCTTACCTCTTTTGTAGGTGTTTGATTACCTATGAAATTAACTTAAAGTACTAATCTCCTGTTCTTGGCTCGTTTATCGGATCTCAGGTATTAACACTATTCTGTTACACTTGACTTTGAGAAAGCGATGACTTTCAAAGGAGTGGCACAGGACTGAGGTGCATCTGGCTAGTTTAGACCGGGGGAGGGGTAAGAGGGGTGAGGACTGAGGTGTTAGCTGACCTGCAAGGCTTTCTGGAGGTTTGTCTACGGCGCGGGGCCGAGGTTAGAACGCTACCGCCCAGCGCTCGGGTCCTGGCGAGGGGCTGGGATGTGGGGTCCCCTCCTATGCACCTACCTGCAGCTTAAGCTCCTGCCCGCGGCGCCTGAGCGCCTGCAGCGGGTCCCGCGGCCGCCGGGCGAGCATCGGCCTAGCAGCCGCCGGCGGGACCGCGCCGGTTGCCAGGGAAACCAAAGCGGGAGCTCAGCAAGATGACGCTATCAGCGGGCGCCGCCACCCAACGCCAGGGGATTCGCTAAACGGCCTAAGAACAACTGCTCTAGGTTCCTAGGATGGGGACGTAAACTCGGAGTCCCCAGACTGCACATCTCGTCACTATCACGACCTCGAACCTTGCAGTGCTCTGTTCTATGCAGCTTTCCGACACCTGTTCCGCGAAACGAATCTTTAAAATAGTTTAAGCATGGTAAACTCCTTAGCTACGAGAGCTTTTGTGGGACTCGCAGTTTGGCTGCACAGTGTCACCCTATGGGCGGTTTTATTATTATTTACTGTATAGCCATAGCCCTGCATTCAACAGATATCCTCCTGTCTCTCTGCCTCCCTAGTGTTGGAATTAAAGGCGTTTGCCATCATACTTGGCCAAGAGGCGTTTTTAAACTCTTGCCTTTTGGGGTATTGCTGAAATGTCTCCAAAGTTTTTATGTAGTCCACCCTGAATTCTAGGAAGGCGGCGATTCTGTCTTGTGCGGCAAGCCTATGGGCAAATAGATATTTTTGATCACTCTCGGGAAAGGTGGTAGTATTTCCCCCGAGGGAGACTCAGTCCTCTAAATCCAGTTCCCAAATGCCACTACACCAACCCTGGGTTTAGGAGTGGTGATGAACCAAGTTCAACAGTTGACAGTGTCATTCCCAAGGTATCTGATTGTTATTGTGACTCTGGCTCTCAATTTACTGATTCCAATTTGACTACGATACAGACTACTGTTTCCATGGAAGACTTTTCCAGTGTGGGAGAGGAGGAAAAGAAACGTTGACACAATGATGTCAAAGGGGAATGGTTCACTACAAGGCTAGGGACACACAGGACATAAAACACCGACAGGTAGAGTAGACAGCAAGACTAGTATGGTAAGGACACCAACATGTTTAGAGGCGGCACATTAAAGGAGGACGAGAGAACCTGCAGGTAAGCAGTGACGAGGGCCAAAGACAGCTCAGTGGTTAAGAGCATGGGCTGCTCTTGCCCAGGACCCAGGTCCAATCCCAAGCATCCACGTGGCAGCTTGTTTTCCAGGGACACTATCTTACAGCCTCTGCGGGTACCAGCCATGCATACGGTACACAGGCTGCACTCGGACAAAACTCATACAGATAAAATTTAAAACAAAAACCACCAAAACTGCCAAGTCTTCTAGGAACAGACCCAGAGGTAGAGCTGGTCCAGTGACAACTCAGTTTAATCCCACATTTTCAGTTTGGGACAAAATGTGCTTCAAGAAACCTACCCCAACTAAACCTCAATGAGGGATGTTGACTAAGAAAACTTCCCCTACCCTGGGGCTGTAGAGATGGCCCTAAAGGGACATGATACCCCAAGACAAAGTTCTCAGAGGAAGAGGAAGGGCCATTTGTCTGTGGGGGAAGAAGGGTATGGAATGGGACACTACAACACTAGGGACAAAGGACTGCCTCTGGTTAGAGAGGAGACAGGCGTGGACCATAGGCAATGGCACTTTATAAAGGGGAAACACCATGTTGGGATGAGGTCTTTAATTTTAATTGTTATGTTAAAGGGAACTTTTGATTGCTGGCCCTTGATAGTCAGCCTTAGGAGGAAGAGGCTAAACAAGGGAATAGAACTTGGTGGCTAGCTTTAGGAATACAAGCTAATCGTTTTTTAGCAAGGAAGTGGGAATGGGGGAGAAGGGCAGGGCCTGCCAGTCATATTTGCCATGCTTGGGCTGGCTAAGTTCCTTCAAGCTCAATTAGGAAAATGCCCACTGCACACACATGAAGATCTGGCATCAAACACCCAGCATCCATGTAAAAACCTGAGGTGCGACAGAAACAGTGTGCAACACAAGTGCTGAGGATCAGGGTCTTGGGGTTGGAAACAGGTAAACCAGACCAGCCAAATATAAATTCCCAGCTTCAGTGAGGGACCCTGTCCTGAAAAAAAAAAAGGAAGGGTGGGTGGGTCCATGGGTAAAGTGCCTGCTGCAAAAGTAACTAGAGTTTGGATTCCCAGAACCCATGTAAGTGCCAAGCAGAGTGGCAGTTCCTATGACAAACTCTGGGCCTACACTACATATATAATCACACATGCACTCACACACTGTGAACATACATACATGCAGGTACACACAACACATACATGAAGAGAAAGAAAAGGTGGAGAGCAATAGAGGCGGGCACCTGAAGCTGACAGATGTACACCGCCACCACCCACAGGCAAAAAATCCTACTTACTCTACCTCAAAGAGCCTCAGCTAAGTTGAGGGATGCTGACTGGAAAGTTTCAGCCAACTAAACAGGATGGAGCTCTAAGAACCAACATTTCAGCCCTTGATGGAATTCACTAAAGAAGACCAAATTAGAAATAATAGGGCACAATAATCCTAGGAAAATGGGCAGAAGAATGAACTTTCTGAATTTTCTTATGTTAAATGGGGCTGAGACACAAAACTGATTTTCTGAAAAATGGGGACAGTGTGTCAGAAATGTATCCTACAGATAACCAGGGACTTGGTTGCTTGATATGACTGGTATTTATCTTTAAGCTCTACTCAAAGGTTTCTCTTTCACAAGTACATTTCCAAGTTAACACATAAGGAATTTTTACACTCAGCATTTGCAGTAAACTTTCATTCTTCAAAGTGCAAATATCTGTTTACTTCAGGCATTTGCCACAGCACCTGTCTTTTCTGACTACATCTAGAAAAAGGACCCACAATGGTCCCTGGATGAAATCTGCCTCCAGGCTGTCCCAAGGATGTGAACGATTGCATAAGAAGACCTCTGCTTTCAGGATCCAGATGTCTTGCTGCAGCAAACTCAATGGTAGGCAAAATATTCCTTTCCTTTGTGATGAGGGAAGACTCAAAGATATTTACATTTTTTTATTTTAAAAATAGATTCATAAAGTGCAAGAAGAAACGATTTCTTTCCAGTGCTTTATATCTATCTTCGATAAAGCTGTTGAAAGACAGAAAAAAAAAAATCAGTGACACACAATCTTTAACTTCAAATTACTGTACTGTGACGGTAAACCACGAACAGTAAGAAAACTAATGCGCTGATGAAACGCAAGGCTCCTGACACTCACTTTTTGTACTCTATCTGGCAGCCAACAACTTAAAGACTTAGAAATGGAGTTTGCAAAAACATCAAAGCTACAGCACTACTCGTGGACCTATTCAAAATGAATGTGGGGGTTGGGGTCTCTCTCTCTCTCTCTCTCTCTCTCTCTCTCTCTCTCTCTCTCTCTCTCTCTCTCTCTCTCTTTTCTGTCCAGTAGTCTCCATTTTGAAGTTAAATGTTAAGGTGCAACTGCATCGCACGTGGTAAAGCATTCCCATTAAACACCCTCAGCAAACTGAATTGTAACACTTCATTAGAGAAGATAATCTATTTTCTCTCTGAGGTCTAGGAGCAAGCCACGTTCCTGCAAGCAGTGCAAATGCGACCCGAGACTCCCCCGGGCGTGTGATCGCGTGGCTCACCCATTCCGGGTCGCGTGGGACTTGAGGAGTGAGGACCCGGCGGGCTCGCGCCGCGGCGCGCGCTCAGGCCAGGTCCAGCTTCTTCTGAGTCGTCGCCAGTTTGTCTTGCAGCCTCCGTTTCCTCCAGTCCAGGTAACGTCTCCGCAGCCGATTTGCCTGCCAGCCCAGGACTACTCCAGAGGCGAAAGCCACTAGCACGGAAACCTGAAGTGTCCTCTCAGACACGTCCGCCATTGCAACCACCCGGTATGGAGAGTAGACTACGGAATGGCACAAGGATCAAATAGGGCAGTGCTCGCCCAGGACCGCTGGGAGCATGCGTGAGGCAAAGGCGCAGCGCCCTGAGGCTCTTGTCTCAGGGGAAACTGACCAGTACAGGGTCTCACTATGCTGCAAGACTGACTTGACATATGGATAGGCTCCACATTTCTTCCACATTTGTTGTTTGACATTAGTAGGACATTGCTTTGCATCATAGATGAGTTGGTGCCATTTACTCCTGTTCGTTTTTTCTTAGCAGCTGATTAAGTTTTCTGGTAACTTGATTTTGAAGTAATAAATGAATAGAGAAAAACTTTAATACATTTTAAATGAATGCATGTAGACGAAATTGCCTTTAATAATGCATTTTGTTTATCGCAGTACACATTATCATACCAATATGTAACCAGCGAATGTCAATGCAATAACCACAGCTCTCATCTTGAAGTAAGAGTTTATTCTTGAGTCATTATGAGTGACCATGGCCTGGGAACACAGATTTAGGCCAAACTCCATGTTCCAACGTGGAAGCAGTTTCATCAAGTTTTATAGTTTTACAGAACAAAGAGAGTCATAAATCAAGGCAAGTTACAGTAAGATGGGGGAAGACTTTTCTATAGGCCCTAAGAAAGCACACATTTGAATCATTGCATTGACTGATACAGGACAGAGTGGTTTCTGTTTTCAAAATAAATACCTATTTGGGATTTCCCCCTGTGCACATGCACTTACCTTTTTATAGCAAGGCAAGTATGAAAGCAATTGTATGTCATTAACAGAGGGTTAGTATACAGATGTAAATTTGGGCAAGAAAAAGAAAAGTGTCAATAGATATTAACATAATTTAAAGCAGCCATATCAAGAGAGTATCATGAAGTTTAACAGATAAACACTGAAAGGGTTTCCACTGAAACAGAAGAACGTCAGTAGCACTCCACCGTTATTTAACATCATTTTCAAGGTAGTAACTGTTAACACAAAGGCACAGAAAAAGTGGGAATGATACATACTGCTTTCATAAAATAGTAATATGGTGCCAGGTGGTGGCGCACACCTTTAATCCCAGTACTTGGGTGGCAGAGGCAGGTGGATCTCTGAATTCCAGGCCAGCTAGGGCAACACAGAGAAATCCTGTTTTGAAAAAAATAAAAACCCAAAAACCAAAACAGAAAGCAACAAATCCCCCCAAAAAACAAGAACAAAGAGATAGTCATAGGGAAACTTCGAAGAGTCAACTGAAAGCAACAGGTTTCATAATATTCAAATTACCAGCTAAGAAAACACAGCATGGTGGAGGGGCTGATTTAAAAAAGGAAATATAGTCCTAAATATTTAAATTAGTACTAGTTTTTGAAAAAAATATAGAGGAACCGGGCGGTGGTGGCACACGCCTTTAATCTCAGCACTTGGGAGGCAGAGGCAGGTGGATCTCTGTGAGTTTGAGGCCAGCCTGGTCTACAAAGTGAGTTCCAGGATAGCCAAGGCTACACAGAGAAACCCTGTCTCTAAAAATAACAAAACGAACAAACAAAAAACAAAAAGAAAAGAAGAAAATAGAGGGTACTTTTTCAATTGAGGATAACATTTTAAGACATAAAAGTCAAAGGCCATTTAAGACCATAAATTCTAACTTCTTCACAGAAGCAGAAATCTTTATACTAAAGACTTATGCCAATTTGGGATGAATAATTTGAGTTATATACAAATCTTACAAAATAAAAGAGGACATATAGAAAATGGACAAATAGGCTTCACTAAAAAAGACCACATGCCTAGCCACCCCCCCCAAAAAGTGGACATATTTGGCCTAGTCTATAAGAGAAATGCAAATTAAGACTACAGGGGAATACTATTTAGTGCCAAACCAACAAGTGAAAAGCCTGATGTGGTAATGACACAGGAACAAGGCCTTGTGGACCCTGGCATAACCACCATGGAAGCGAGTTGCAGATACTCCCAGCATTTGGGAGGCAGAGGCAGGAGGTTCTCTATGAGCTCCGTGTCAGACAGGGCTACTCAAGGAGGCCCTATCCTAAACCAAAAGCAAAGCAAAGCAAAACCAAAAGAACAACAACAACAAAACATGGACATAGACAAAAACTCTCTGAATAGAACTCCATTAGCATAGAAAAGGAAACTTCAGCAGAGTGAAGAGCAGTTTACACAATGGGGGGAAACTTTCCCAGCTATATTCCAGACAGGGGTAAAAATGATATTCAAAGAACAGTAAACACCAAATGCTCTCTCACACAATTTGCCAGTCAATAAATGGGCTTAAGTGAACATTCCCAGAAGAAACAATGGCCTTTAAATACTCAAGAGTATTCAATATTCTTAGCTATGAGGGAAATGTCACCCAAAACTACTCACCCTCATCAGAACAGCTATCACTAGGAAGAGACAAAAAATGCTAGTGAGGATGTGGAATAATAATCCTTTATTCTAAGCTGTTTGAAACGTATCCTCTTATGGCCATTGTGGCAATCAGTGCGGCAGTCTCTCAAAAAAGTGAAAACACAACTGTTTATGACCTAGCTATCCCACTCCTGGGTATACAAAGGATTCTATCGTCTACCAGATAAATCCAAACATCCATATTGATTGCCCCTCTATTCACAATAGCAAGGAAATGGAACCAGCCTAGGTGTCTATCAACTGATGGATGTGTAATGAGAATGTGGTATCATACAGAAGGGAATTCTATTCACATTTACATCATGAAATTTGTATGAAAATAGATGGAGTTAGAAAGACTAAGTAATTCAGAGTCAGAAAGATACAAAACGTGCTTTCTCCAATATGCAGACCCTAACTTAAAATGTTTATATGCATATTTAAGTGGGGTCAACAGTAACTGTAGGCTATGAAACTAAAGAGACCTTGAGAAAGAAAGAAAGATGTTGAGGTAGGAGGAAGGGACATGGACAGATGAAACATGAAAGCAGAAGGTAAGCAATGGGGAAGGTGTGTTATATAAAGGGATCAGAAGGATGGGGAAGAAATAGCAACAAAAACAAATTTTGTCTGAAAGTGCCATAATGAAACCTAACCCTACCTATGCTAATTAAAGGTGAATTTTAAGTACTTTTGGTCTACTTTGGACTTAAATAGGTTCGTATTAGAAAGGTGGTTTCTAGAAAGCATTTAAAGTTGAATCATTCTTAATGAAAACTTGTACACAAAGAGCAGTCCAACTGATTAGTCTGCTTCATATGGGTCTCCTTACTTTGCCAATTTTGTTAGAGTATTTATAACAACTAGGTCACATGGGTATATCTTATGGGCTTTATTTTTTAACATACATAAATAAAAGTGTGAAAAAAATAGGATTCAAAGTAGGAGGGAGTTTAAATTTACAAAGTGTTTTTTGGATAAGGTTCAAATCCATATTTTATTTTCTCATCCGCTTATATTCTGAGAGTAGCACAATTAGCCTATTACGCAGGGTCTTAATCTTGGTGGAATATTCTTGTTCAAATACTGTCTTCATCTTTTGTCTCAACAAATCCAAAGATGGAAGATGATGACAATCCGGGATATTCAACATGATGTGAAAGAATTCCTCCCACATTTCCAAATGAGGAAGCCTAATAAGACAAAATATCACAATGAAAAACATGCAACCTTCAACATCCACAGCAATCTGTTCCTGCATCTATTTTACACAGGTGTGGACATGTTAAAAGAACAGCTCTCACCCATTTGTATCTTAGCAAACCAAGAATCCATCACAAACAGGAGGAATTAAAAATCTAAATGTCTAAATCTACCTTGTTCTAAAAACATGATTTGAAAAAATCTTTTAGCAACAGTTCTTCAGTAGAAGGATCATCTTTTAAAGAAAATCTATCTTCTTTTGACTTCCTGTGTACACCACACTGTCAGAATCTGATGATACAGTTACTTGGTTCTGATAAGCCTAACTGCATATATGGCAAAACATCTGGACAGATAGGCTACACTTTTTAGTATAGAGCTCACACTTAAAGGTCCTTGCCACTTATAGTGGTTAAAGTTAATTGAAAAAACTTCAAAACAGGGAGAGAAAGCCCTGGAGAGAAAGCAGAACAAATTAAAATGTCATTCTAGATGGAAACTAAGAAGGAAGCTTTGGGCTTTTTTCTATGCTATTGGTAATAGATGGAAACCTTCTGAACCTTCTGGTTCTTTGATAACAAGCAAGGGAAACAATAAAGCAAATAAAGTACTTGCTGAATTTGATGGCTCTGTACAGAATAAAAACAACTGTTGTAAGTTTCTTTTGGGTTCTGAATCTACTGTACATGATGTGTATAAAATTATGCAAACTCTTTCCTGTAGGAGCGAACCCCACAAAGCTATCCACCCATGAGGGCGGAGACAAGTAAATTAGCACAGGTAGATATAAAAGTAAGGAAAGAAAATCTCATCACTTGAAGCCACCAGGAGGCTGGAGAGATGGCTCAAAGGTTAAGAGCACTGGCTGGTCTTCCAGAGAAAGAGAGAGTCCTTTTTCTTTCACTTCCTTTTATATCTACCTGTGCTAATTTACTTGTCTCCGCCCTCATGGGCGGATAGCTTTGTGGGGTTCACTCCTACACTTTCCCTTTACTGCTTTGATAGTGGGTGGGGAGAATGAGGGGAACCTCAGCCTAAATTTTCTCAAGAATGAATCAACATGTAAAATTCCATTAAGCTAACATATGAGGACTTTTTAATGAATACATTTTCATAATCTTAGAAAAGTTAATGATATATGGAAATATGCATGCATAGAATAATCAGCTTCAATTCAATACCGCCAGTGGTATGTTTACAGATTGTTATTTTTAGGAACAATGTTGACATAAGCTCCAAACCAAACATTAACCTTTAAGTATCTTATAAACCAAAGTCACATAGGGCTGGAGCTTGAGACCTTGTCTTGTAACAGAAGTTACCTCATTCTATTTATAATTTACAAAACAGCTTCACCTATATTACTTTCTTTGCTTATAAGATTTGAACAAAGGAGAATTATCATCATTTATATTTAC